TCAAATGCCTCTTTTGTCACATCACTAATATACCTTAAAAGACACGACAGGGTTCTTGTAAATTTTAAACGTTTCTTGCCATAGCTGTAAAAGTCTAAATATGTTAAACTTATTAGATAGTCCGTCATTTGTTTTCTAACTAATTCGTTTTAAGACCAGGTGTTGTCCACGGAAATTTTCAAAATTTACAACTTTTCGGTCACTCTCGTTCAACTGGAAAAATGTCTGTCTTATTACATCTAATATTTCGAATAAATCAGTCCCACTGTACTCGGCTAGAGATTGGTTCGGTTAGGCTTTTGTTTAAGTAAAATTTCGGCTCTTTCATCAGGATTTTGTTTACGTCCCCAATTCCCTAATCGCTTAATTATTTAACTACTTCTTAAGTAGAAAAAGTCGAAACCAGTTACGTTGTACTCGAATATTTGTAGTCTCGGGAAAAAGTGGAAAGACAAATTTTTATGACAAACGTATACATAAATCTTAAATTTAAGGAAAATAAATTCTAGAGCTTTTTTGTATCTTGTGCATCTCATTCATTACATTTAGTTGTAAATGATGTTGCCAAAGTAACATTTAATTTTTTAACATTGTACAAGAATTGTAGTCTACACGTTTCTTTCTGCATCTCCTTATGGATGGAACATACGAAATCATAATATAACTGGTTTAACATTAAAATCCGTGAGTAGTATAAAATCGGAGAGAGGAATAAATATATCAAATATTTTAACGGATTTTTTAAAACTCCTGTCAACTATACAGAAAACTATCATAGAAACATACAGGTAAATTCTTATCGGTTGGGTTAAGTTAGAAATCTACTCGTGATTCACGTAATCGGGCGAGGGCGGCTAACGACCCAGAACCGGTCCTGGATAGAACTGGATGCGTTATACGTGTAGCATCCCCCCGAGGTCCTAGGCTTCCACCGGCTAAACCGGGTGAGGTTGGTGCTCTGTAAAGCGCATGCGCGAATCTGGCTTTTTGGATGCTGACAATACAGCGTTTCCACTCCGCTACTAATATTCGAATATACAATAGCAATCTTATTTTTTTTTTCACGTGTAGTATAGAATTTTGTAATAAGCTACATAATGCAGTTATATCGCACAATATTTTATTAAATATTGTGCGATATTTTTAAATTAATTATTATATTAATTAATTAATATATTAATTTTAATTATATTTTCATATAAAATTAATATGTATTTACTTTTTAGAAAATACAAGGGAACGGCGCATCCACCGCTTCTAATGACCGCACGCTACTGGCACCGACCCAATGTCAGCTGTTGCTCTCGATGAAAGTCAAATTCCACAGTATCACTGTGCTGATTGCAGACGACTTCCGGTTTGAATTTCACATTGTGACTCATAATCACTTTCCTTTGACAAGGAATCCAGACTCAAAATCCATCCTTATCATTAACATACCCAACCAACTGTCCGAAATTAGCTTTATTATCAAACTTCGATCGAAAATTCTTGTTTACACGTACTGTACGTAACATCCAGTGCAGAAGATTCTCAGATGATCAAGTCTTCCTACTGGTCTACCATACCATAATTTATAAGGAGCTTTGTTCTGAACTGATAATTTTCCAGTAAAATTCAAGATATATGGCAGTGTTGCATGCTTCTGCCCACAATCCTTTCGGTAATATGCTTGGATTCAACATAGAACGTGCTATTTCCACAATGGTACGATTTTCGCGTTCAGCTGCACCATTTTGCTCAGGTGTATAAGGTGGAGGAATTCATTGTTCTATCCTCTGTTTGCGAGCAATTCAGCAACTCTTTTGTTGACAAACTCCGTACTTCCATCACATCTAAATTGTTTGACAGATCCACTTGTTCTAGCTTCACTTAATTAAAAATTGCTCAAGCACATCACATACTTCACTTTTCTGTTTCAAAAAGAAAATTCGTCGAAACTTGCTGAAGTCATCCTTGAAACATACGTAGTAACGTGCTCTTCCTAAAGATTTGGTGGACATTGGTCCATTCACATCTGCATAGATCAATTCGCCAGTAACTGTTGGACGATTCATTCTTTGCTTAAATAGTAGTCTATGCGTTTTCCCCAAAGCACAGTGGCGTAGCGTGGGTGTCAGCCGCCCGGGGCAAAGGAAAATTTCGCCGTCCCCTTATTTTGGTATCTCAATTTAAAAGATTAAAATTCAGTTTCGTCACAGAATAAGTAATGAAAAATTCCGTGTCAGTGTAGCTATTACCGCTAAAGCTCGAAAGTCGTTAATGTGTACATTACCTAGCTAATCTGCAGATTAACTAGGGTGATCCCTTAAAGTTGCTAAAATTGTTCTATTTCTCAAATTACCTAGGTAATGTGCAGATTATCTAGGTAATCTGCAAATTACCTACTAGGCACTCGGTAAAGTGAAAATAAGATCTTTGCTGAAACAACAGCAACGTTTCTGTACGCTTAAATTAACATAATGTTCTTTATTTAATTTTCGATATCTAAAGAATCAAGTTAATACAATCAAACAATCGACAAATTAGTTGATAGAATCAATCATCAACCAATTAAAAAACATACAAAAAATCAAACGATTTAAAATATTAATACAATTAGGGAAATTATTATATAGATAACCACCTATGGAATTTCGGGACTTTGAGTATCTATCTGAACTGAGGGGACCGAGACGACTTCAACGATACCCTACTTTTGGACCGGAGACGAAAAATAATAAAGTTATCATACTTTTTCTGGTGATCGCATGATATAATTGTGCAGTTAATGTTACCTATGGTGAGTAAAATGGCGGCTCGTCTCTGATTCCAGCAAACAGAAGAAAGGAAACAGTGGGGACGCACGTTCTAACCTAACCTAACCTATTCTAATAAATTACCATAATTATTACCAACCAAATTATTAGAATAGGTTAGGTTAGGTTTGAACGTGCGTCCCCTCTGTTTCCTTTCTTCTCTTTGCTGGAATCAGAGACGAGACCATTTTACTCACCATAAGTAACATTATCCAATTGTGCTTACTTATTAGTACAGTCTAAAGATTGGTGACACTGAATTTCATAGAAATTGGTTTTTGCGACAAGCACACCTATTTGTGGTAATTTATTTGTGGCAAAGATCTTATTTTCACTTTACCGAGTGCCTAGTAGGAAATGTGCGGATTATCTAGATACTCTGCACATTATCTAGGTAATTTGAGAAATGGAACAGTTTTCACAACTTTAACGGATCACCCTAGTTAATCTGCAGATTAGCTAGGTAATGTACACATTAACGACTTTAGAGCTTTAGCGGTAACATATATATAGAAAAGAAAATCGTTATATCTAATAACTTATTGTTTCTATGTAGTTTTAATTCATTTCTTTTCATTTTGTTTGTCATAAATATATTTAATTTTTTTTAATAAAATAGACCATTTCTGCTGCTATTAAGTTTTCTGAACTAAGTATTTTTTTTTATTAAAATTTAATACTGTATTTATTGAGCTGAATAACATACTACATAGTTCCATTTTAATCGTAATCATATGCAAGACTAGGTATTCTAGAGATGTTTTTAGTTGTTTCCTTCATTTTAACTCTTTGATAAAGAAAATGTGAAATATATAAAATTTTAACTTGACTCAATTAATTAAATATTAAGAAGTTATTTTACCGTATTTTCTTTACCGGAAATAACTATTTGATAGTAATCATTGGCTAGCAAATCGATGTAAATAGTTATATTTATTTATTAAAGACATTGATGTGTATTGCCGTCGTACTTTATTACATAACTCTGATAAATACAACTTTTTCTTGAACAGTATTGGAAAACACCCATCCACCTAGCCCATTCTTCTGATCAGATCTTATTAGGGGAGGGGACAGACAATAACATACCATGAGCATGCCATAAAACCCGAGGGTTTTCCAACAATATGATAATTACATCCTCTATTTGTTTAGATATATGATATTTCAAAAAAGATTCTAAATTGAGCTGGCATTCTCATTGATTGTTAGAGAGCAGCTAGTGACAGCCTGCTGTCATACACATAAAAAGACAACTTAACACTCATACGCTCTCCATAAATGACAAAGGAAATATTTAACATCAACAAAAACAAATCACATTCCCCACAAACACTTGTTTGGTTAAGAAGTCTGTAAAGTAAGATGATTTTCGTGGCAGTCCTACACCTTTCCAAACAATGTAAAATTCCCAACCATTAAATGAAATGGGGGAAGTTTAAAAATGAATCGAATGTAAAATTCTGAAAGTCAATCGGTTTTTCAAAACCATCACGTCAATACAGTTGCAATAAGGGATTCCAACAGCTGCAACATTCGTAGTTATTCGTGAAAAATCGCAGATTTACACGGTCTAACGGCCATGTACTATGACAAAACTGCATTGTAAATGTCTCACCCGGAAATGATATACTGTTTCCCGGTGACGGTAGTCTCATCAAATCTGCATAAAACAAATGTTGAATAGGTATTACAGACTGCGCACACTAGTTTCGAAGATAGCAAGGTAAATTGTATCTGGGAGCAAGAACAATCAAAGGATGCGAGTCTTGCTTGGGAGAAAATGTTTATTGTGTCAGACTTTTCAAAGCAAACGGAATTATCACCTAGCTAAGTCAGCATGTAGATAAGAGACAATTTGAATGGCAAGTTCCCATTTCAAATTAGGAAATATCACATTACCACGGTGCCATAGTTCTTGCTTCCCTTAAGTCACAAATTTCAATGGTTTGGAAGAACCACATTTGTCCTTTTTAATACTTTGCACAAGATCCGAAGTTTTTGGCTGAATTTGATTCACGACACACTGACCACCCTCCAAAGCGAGGACAAAACAACGATTGTTAGGTGATGACCAGTCTGGGGAGAGTATTTTACTCAGCACAGGAGGAGGATGGTGGAGTCGTGTTTTTCTTTGTTTATTTTGAACATTTTGCTCATTAATTTTTCACAGCTTTTCTTTCGCAGGAATCCAAATAGTAGAACTAGCCTGTTCACAAATCACTTCCTTAACCTTTGCATAGATCTCTTCTGGTGTGTCTCCTTGTATGATAGCTATATCAAAAATATTTTAAATTAAAGATATGTAAGGTTAAATGCATAAATAAATGAATATACATATATAAACATAATCACAATTTCTACCTGTGAAATATTCTGCAAATTCTTGTTCGAGTTTCAATGCTCTCTCATAAGTTTTCTTTGCTAGTTCTTCATCTATACGTTTGTTCATTTCCCTATAAAAAATACACTCATAAATTTACATCTTCTATGATTAATTTTAACTTAATTTTAAATAAAAATTTTTTAAGACTTACATTATGGATTGTACTGATTTAGGTTTAATGAAAATAGCTATTGGATAAAGACCAGCTACTTGTAATCGCTTGATAGCATTTCCACTTACATCTAATATGCAATGCTTATTCTGAAAAAATAATTGTAAATATAAGTATTATTTGAAAATATTTAAAATTTTACCCTTTAAATTCATTAATTCCCCAAATACAGAGCATTACATTTGATAAAAGTACTTCATTTACAAGGAGAAGAGAGATGACTTAACTTTTTTTTTTTTTTTTTTAAGTCTTTGAAAGTAATAATAATAATAATTTATAAAGTATGTTTTAACAGTTCGATTGATTTTCAATTTTTCTGTCCAGATTGATGTTAAATTTCACTAGTGATAAAAAGTAAAATAGAATTAGAATTTTAAAACAGTATTGTTCAATTATTATATGCCATACTCTTGGTTTAGCATTCTAAATTCTTTCGTCACTTAAGTTAAAAAAAAATTACTTTATAATGCTATAATCATCTTTTTATAAACACGTTAATGTTTTTCCACTGAAATAATTCCTAAAAATTGTTTTAGAATTATATTGTGGATAATTTTATTTTTTTGAAGTAAATTTTCATAGAGATTACTTAATGAAACAAAATTAAAATTACTATTAAAATTTAACTTGAAGTTTAAGAATTATGAATGACAAAAAATGATTTTATACAGTGTAATAAAATCCTACAGACATTTTGAATTTTGAACTTATAGAAATTAAAAGTTTTAATTGGTATAATTATTATTATAATTTAAATTAAAAGATCTTAAATAATATATGTCAAGATTAAAGGAGTAGAGAAGCTTTGAGAGAATAATTAAATATTTTTAATAATAAATTTAAATACAATTCCAATGTAATATTTCATTCAGTGTTTTTAAAATATACTATTATAACAACATTCATTAAAACTCAAATTTTTTAAAAATAAAAATAGTCTGAATTAGCATGGTTTTACTATTATTTTGCATTGTATATTTTTTTAAAATAATGAATTTGTCAATTCTAATCTGAACTTTATAGTAATATGCTGAATTCAGTTCTCTTTGGGGTTTAATCTGATGTTGACCAGTTGTGACGACCTGTGGCTAACCTTACTTGTATAATACTTAAAATTTACACATACCTAGGAAAATACAGAATTTATTTTTTGATTTTTGTAATGTAAATGTTTATTTCTATTATTATGGCACCAGCTCATCATAGTTTGGTTACTGGTTTTTGATTGTTCTATATTGAATATTGTATAGATCTAATAATCTGTATATTTTGTAATTTTGCTATTTTATTCCCCATACAAAGGGTTGAAAACCTTGTACTATATAGTTATTAAAGTTCATATTATTTATTATCTTCCCCAAATAGTCTACATTACTGAAGTTCTACTATATTTTGATTATTTGAGATAATTTAAAAACTGCCTAACATTAAGTCATACGAAACTGTTTTATGATACAAGCATTATTTTGGAATATAATTATCAACTATCAAATAATATATATTAAAAACTTACTTTTTCCGCTACTGCCTTTACAGAAGAAACACTTGTGCCATATAGATTGTCATTATACTGCCCAGCTTCAATAAACAGGTGATTCTGAATATCCTTTTCCATCTGTTCTCTAGAGGCAACATAGTGATAGTCTCTACCATCTACTTCATAATCTCTCTTAAGGCGAGTGGTATCTGAAACAAAAGAAAAGACATGATAAATATCAATTGGACTTCTGTAAATTATTGCTTTTTCCAAAGAATTTTATCATTACAGTAGAGCCTCGATTATCCGACCCAACTGGGGACTGGGGTTGGTCGGATAATTGAAAAGTTGGATAACCAAAAAGTATGAAAAAATCCATTATCATTGTAGTATATTATTATATCCCATGTAATTACCTTTTTAATACTTTGCACAAGATCCGAAGTTTTTGGCTGAATTTGATTCACGACACACTGACCACCCTCCAAAGCGAGGACAAAACAACGATTGTTAGGTGATGACCAGTCTGGGGAGAGTATTTTACTCAGCACAGGAGGAGGATGGTGGAGTCGTGTTTTTCTTTGTTTATTTTGAACATTTTGCTCATTAATTTTTCACAGCTTTTCTTTCGCAGGAATCCAAATAGTAGAACTAGCCTGTTCACAAATCACTTCCTTAACCTTTGCATAGATCTCTTCTGGTGTGTCTCCTTGTATGATAGCTATATCAAAAATATTTTAAATTAAAGATATGTAAGGTTAAATGCATAAATAAATGAATATACATATATAAACATAATCACAATTTCTACCTGTGAAATATTCTGCAAATTCTTGTTCGAGTTTCAATGCTCTCTCATAAGTTTTCTTTGCTAGTTCTTCATCTATACGTTTGTTCATTTCCCTATAAAAAATACACTCATAAATTTACATCTTCTATGATTAATTTTAACTTAATTTTAAATAAAAATTTTTTAAGACTTACATTATGGATTGTACTGATTTAGGTTTAATGAAAATAGCTATTGGATAAAGACCAGCTACTTGTAATCGCTTGATAGCATTTCCACTTACATCTAATATGCAATGCTTATNTATTTATATACAAACAAAACTCAGTATTAATATATAAATCTTACAAGAGTATGTAACACATTTTAAATATATAGTGTCTTCCAAAAAGAATGCTCCCATTTTAAATTATTGTAATTATGTTAATTAGTACCCAAGAAGTATAAGATGTATATCAATTGACAGAATAACTGTTCAAGTTCCATTGACCACCTGCATTCAAATGTCTTTTTGTCTATTGCCTCTAGGAAGTGCCGTAAACAAAAATGGTGACAAGAATGTTTGCCTTACATAGTGGATCACTTTGAATTTGTCTGTGAAACTAAAAAAGAAAAAAAAACCACCAAAAATCATGCTGCACAATGATGAATGATTCTAACTTTATAAACTGCAGAATGTAAAAAGATGTTTGTATGCTTGATGTTTGTATGGTAGATGAAACTTGGACATTTACTCTATCAATTGATATACAGTATGTTACAGATTTCTCAAGTAATAGTTAACCTAATAACAGTAATTTAAAATGGTATACAGGGCTTTCCAAAAATAAAACAACATAAAATAAATTTGTTTCATACCTAAAAGTATGAAACAAATTTAAAATCCTACAATATGTTCTATGAAAATGTAACAGGAAAATAAAATAATAATAATAAAAATTTATGATAATTATCATTATAAAAATAAATGAAAATGATAACATAACTGCTGAATGTAGAACACCATTCATCTTTATTAAGTAATACATAGATAAGAAAATTATAGACCACATATTTTTATGTTGCTTGTAAATGATTTTTGATATTTGCTTGTGCCAGTAAATATAGGTGGTGTATGAGTCAACCAAAATGGATGCAACAAGGCTTATAGTGTGCCTGACAACATACCAGAGTTATTTGTGTGTAGTCTTTGTAATAACTTTTCTCTCTGTAGTCAAAACATTTTATCTGCATTTGTGTCCAACATTAATCCTAGTTGATTTTGTAGTTGTTCAAGTCATGATGATTACATTTTGTGACATTTTAGAATATGTGGGTGATTGAAAAAGATGATCCACATGTAATAGAAGGAAAGGAAATGCTAAAACTGATAACTTCATATCTATCCACATCTTTCTCAGCAAATAATTCACTTCAGTTTCACCAACATCTAATTTTATTGAGCTTAAAATTCCTTTATTTTTACTAACATTTTCAACCTATCTAATATAAGCCATCATCAGGTTTCATTAATATTATAAATGTCCCAAAATGGTATGTTCTATTTTGGAACATTTATAATATTAAACCTGATGAAAGCCTATATTAGCTAGGTTTGTAAAAATAAAAGAATTTTAAGCTCAACAAAATTAGATGTTGGTGAAACTGAACTGATATATTACTGCAAAAACTTCAGTTTTATTTCTTACTTTTATATTTTGGGAATGTGTGCATATGTACTGAGTTTGATGAACCTTTAGACATTTAGATATTTTTGTGGAGGGGATTCCTCTTCCAAGCATTAAGCTCTGAGGAAACAAACATATGTACAGTGCTACTTTATTAAACAAAGTTTACATATTTGTTGCTGTAATGATAGATACTACGTTTTCTTATATTTTCATCAAAGAAAACCCATTTTACAAATAAAATTACAAAAATACTGATGGTTAGAATGGATTAATTGTATTTGCATTAATTTCTATGGGAAAAATTGCTTCAGTTAACGAACGGACTCTTGGAATGGATTACGTTCGTTAACCGGGTTCCACTGTATAGTGTAAGAGCAATATATAATAACAACTGAAAATTTTTCAACAGCATTTGAGTTTTCTGAATATAAAGACTACAGATATATTAATGTTTAAGTTCCATGAATGGAATATTTTATAATCAGAATAACTCATTTGCAGATAATTTAAATCAAGGATTTCTGTATTTAAGTGTAAACTTAAGCATCTTTATTTTGTTCTGTAAAGTACAAAGTGAAAAACTGTAAAAGTGTCTTATTAAAAGGGCCATTAGAACATTATATATAAACAGACTATTATTAGAAAATATCTTTTTGCTACATTTGTGAAGGACTTAAAAGCAGACATAGCAAACCCTTTTTATATGCTACTTTAGCGCATAAACTCTGAGCCTGTGCAAGATAAGCATATTGAATTTAAAAAATTATGCTTATTGAAACTTTAGAGTTTGAACAATTTTCAGTTTATTTTTTAATTTGAATCTATTTTTAAAAAATGATTATAAAAAATCAGGCTAATTTTATTAATTATTATATGAATAGTTTAATCCACAATGACCATCTATTAATATTTTTTGATATGACATCATTGAATAGCTTGCTACATTGTGATTTACTTGAGACATTTATGTAGAATATCTCCATATAAAATGAAAATATGAGTGTGAAACAAACAAAAAAGTTATTTCATGACAAAGAAGTCAACCAAGGTATGTTTTATATTGCATGTTATTCAAATGTGACCATGCAATCATGAGGTATTGAATAAAATAAGTATTCAGTCCCAAGTGAATCACCCTGTAAGATGATTAATAAAAAGTTGGAAGAACTTTTATTGTTTATAAGCATTTATATTCTAATCAATTTAGAATATAATGTAAACATGGTTTGTACGGTACTGTACAAACTGTACAGTATGTTTTAATTCCAAAATGTTAATTATAAATGAAACTATCATCTTGCAGAATGGAGAGAGGTTTTTATGATTTACATTAGAAATTAGAGAGAATAATATTTTGCATTTGTCTTTTAATTTATTGTTTGAGTTCTAATCTATGATTTTAAATAATATGTACTGGTAATACAAACATGTAAATAAATAAAGAATATACTTACGAGGTACACAACTTCCAAATTTGTCAGGATATTCTGACATTAGATCATCGTTAATCCTGTCTTTTAAAGGGCCTAATATGATGACAGGCCTAGTGTATGTAACTGTAAAAAATTATACAGCTTAAAAATGTTATTTATATATGTTAACATTTTTTGTTAAATATATTTTCTCCTTACTTTCTTGTTGAGTTACTGCTTCATAAGAAAGTACAGGTTCATCAGGCCCTCCTGAAATATTATAAAAACATTAGGAATAGAGAGAGAGAGAGAGAGAGAGAGAGAGAGAGAGGAAACATTTCTAGTTCAACTTTTATAAGATTATAATCATTACTCATAAATTCTTCTTGCATATTTATTTAATAAAAGCTAATACAGGCATACCTCTTTAAGGTACTTTAGAATACCAAATAACTGAATTCAACAGAGGTAAGAAATTCAATCACACAAAAAAAATCTTTTAAAGTGCTTTGCTTTAGAATGCTTTGCTAATATGACACTTTTTAAATTCTATGCATGTTTATTATTTCTGGTGTTTGGCTTGCTGTTAATATTCTTGGGATTTGTTTTTATTTGTTGTTTTTACTTTGTATCTTTTTTTTAGTTAACACTATTGTGTACTTAATTAATTAATTAAATGATAGGGTAAACATGTTTTTAGGTTTTTATATGCACTGCACGTGAAAAAGGCTGTTATTTGCTTTAAGGAGATATTTAATAGATGTAGGAGCCAGACAACTTATTTAACTTTCAATTGTCAGATATTATGATATTTTTTCTAATTCAATGTTTGTTTTTCACTTTAAAATCATAATTTAAATATTACTATAACCAATAGTTCTTCTGTTCCATTAAAAGAAATTAGCAATATATTAAACTATATAGTACAATTAAAACATTATTTTATTATTAATAATTAATCATTTTGTTTAGTTGATTATGAGTAGCATGCTACAGTAAAAAAAAGTTATGTTGGAAAGAGTAAACAGATATATAATTAAAATTAGGTCAATAGTGACATTTTTAAGTAATAACTAGCAGACCCCGCCACGCCTTGTTGTGGCTCAAAATGTATCTATTATAAATTTATAACACTTCCCCGTGGGGGGGGGGAATTTTTTGAAAAATTTCTTCTTAGTGTATATTCTGTTGACGTACCCTATTAAAATGCAAAAAACCGCATCTAAAATGATATAAATAGAAGCAGAGTTCTTTACGGTAAGCTTTAATCCTAACCATCTCCCTTCAGTGGGGGGAATTTCGACTCGTATATTATATAAAAACACGTGCGTATTCGAATGCAGCGTTGTGTCAAAATTTCAAAGGAATCGGTAGGAACAAATGAACATTACATTTTTATTTATATAGATAGATAGAAGATGATCTGCTTTAGTTCATTTTCACAGAAAAGCATAATGCCTCACACAAAAGCAAACTTAGGGCGTCGTACTCGTAGCGCCATCTGTTGGACATAAAAGTGTTAACCTAGATTATATATTTTAATTTATATGAATGTTTAACGAAATAATATACAGCCTATGGCCACCCTGAGGTTCCATTCTAAATATTGGTGGAAGAATTTTTGAAATCGGATGAATAGTTTTGGAAATTACCTGCTGCAAACAAACTTACATACAGTACATACATACATACATACATACTTATAAACATTACCTCTTTATAATATTAGTATAGATATAGATAATACTATGTCATTAGTTTTTAAAATCTCACCACTCAATTCAGTACTTTGAAGTTTAAAAATCTAACTATTAAAAATCTTTATTCATCACTATATTGTAAATTATATTATATATATATATATATATATATTTCAGTAAAAAGTGACTATTTTAAAATTTTATCTTTGAATGGAATTTACAGTATTTTACAGCATCTAAGTCACAACTTTTGCCCAGAACAAAAGGGCTCAAAAATCATTGTGCATCTCATGTGCTATGGGCAATCACAACTTCACATAATAAATTCCCCAAACTTTCAGTAGGCTACCAGTCTAACCAATGCTTGAATAGACTAACACAAAATATTTTAATGGTAAATTTTAATTGTAAATGACTTCTTTTGAACCTCTCTTTTTTTCCTGATAAATAAAAGTGTGCATTCTAATTGTACTTTTTTAAAAATCAGAATACAGTAAAAAATTTGTAATCAACTGCAAAAGGCACAGCCTGGCTTAAATACAATAAAATAAATTTTTCCTAAATATTCTGTTCTGTGTTGAAATGAGTTTGCATCTTATATGCTGTAAAATACAGTAGACCTAATTGATGTAAGAACAGACTTATTTAAAATATGCTAAGGTTAATAACTATATATCATATACTTTACACAAATGTAAGTTTTGCTATGATAGTATATAGCAGTGATAACCAAACTTTTTGTATATTCCACATATACAGAAAGTATCCATATTTCTATCATTTATAAATGATGTGTCAAATATGTAATGGGTTTGGTAGCTGATATTTAAAAATCAGTTAACCAATTTCAAGAATTTCCAGTTTTTGCCAGCACTAGTATGTACTATCATAAAAAAAAATCTATATTACGCTATTATACTTCACCATATGGTAATAGAGTGAGATGTAGTACTGCAGTATAACACCAATAATTTTTTTGTATAACTGGATATAAAACATTCAACAAACTTATAGTTAAGTTTGCTTATTTTTATAAATACAGTGATGCCTTGTATAACATACATCTTGAATAATGGACACTGCGAACAACGGACTTTCTGTTTGGCTGTTACATGACTTGAGCAATGGACTGGCTGCGAACAACAAACTTTCTGCAAACAAGTGCGAATGATGTTCTCACTCTTTTGTCGTTGCCAATGACAATCTGCTATTTTTATAATATACAGGTAACCCCCGTATAACACGGCACTTCTATAGCACGGATTCGCTCTAACACGGTTCGAGAATTGGTATCATCCCCCGTATAACACGGTACTTTTATAGCACGGATTCACTCTGACATGGTTCGAGAATTGGGTAAAACCCTCGTACAACAGGAAATGTAATAAATTTTTACATACTTAAGTAATAATAGTTCACGAAAATAATAATTTTCGTGAACTATTAGTACTTAAATTTGTAAATTTTCTCTTCTCGCCTTCTGTCGATACACGTGGTCCATCTCGAAACTTGTTTCAATGTTGCCAGATCGCGACGCTTCTGCTTCTGATGTTGCCGAATGTTTTTCCCTTATTCCATACTTGCTTTATTCTTCATAAGTGCTTAGCACCATATAAGGAAATTTATAAAGACCTTTTAACTAGAAGCAAGCAATCTAAAATTACATACATTTTGCAAAAGGTAAAGCATGGATCTGAAGATAATGCAGAAAAATGCTCAGAGGATAAGGATAACTTGCCAAAAAGAAAACGCTCTCGGTTAATTAATAGTGTTTTTAGTGATGACGAAGAAAACATTGTTTAATTTATATTAATATGTATTACTTAAAAAAATTTTAATAAAGATATTTATCTTAATTATGAAAATATACTAGCATGTTTTTTAATTTTTGAAACCTAAACCTCCTTTTCGTATTAGTTCTTTGTTTCGCATAACACGGATTTGCATAACACGGCAATATTTTGGAACGTAACTACCGTGTTATACGGGGGTTACCTGTATTAGTATTATTAGAATATATTATTAGTATATCTGAAGTACAGAGCTCTCATTGGGATTCAGCTTGCTCCCTTGTTTATTATGTACATCACCTCAGTACAGGGTATTTACATTTATTCAAGTGTTGTACAAATCATGGCTTCTAAAAAAACAGAAAGGTGGTTTCAATTGAAACAATGCAAGAAATCATCAGGAGGAGTGAAAGTTGACAAAAACTTCCTTGTCAAATGGGGAGAGGTTCAGGAGTTTACCAACATTCATTATCCAAACAGAGCTGAGGCCAATAGGATCAATGATCTCTACAATGACACCTTTGCCCATCATTTCCGACAGGTGTTGGAGAAGAGAGAGAAACAGACCACCTTGGACATGTTTTTTAAGAAACCAGCAGGCAAAAAACAAAGGATGGAACAAGAGGAGTTAACCCTGCAAACTCCGGTAGCTTCTCCTAAATCTGACTCCGATTAAAAAACAATAAAAAGAGATCTGCTGCAATGTATAAAAAGTCTGTATTTGTATGAATGTGTGAAGAAAGTGTTCCTCCACTTCTTCCTCACAACATCTAACCACCCGGCATAATTGGTAACTGCTCCATTTTCATTTTTTTATGGTACAGTATGGTTATTTTATGCTGCGAAACAAATTATATGTTTTAACATGTATTTCTATGGGAAAATGTGTTTTGTATAACAGACTTTTCACTTAACGGACTTGCACCTGGAACAGATTAAGTATGTTATACGAGGCACCACTGTATATCAGTACTATTAGAATAGTTAATTGACTTTATAAATTTTCAGTTGTCCTGTGAACTGGTTCCTAACCAGTAAGACTATTCTTCAAAACCTAAGAGTAAATGATGCAAATTTGAATATTTTCTAATGATATCCGCAGGAATTATACATTTTTCGACAGGCAATTTAGTTATTAAAATCTTTGCTGTGCAAAGGAAACTGAAATTTAATAAATTACCTTAATGGCACAGAGTAAACACATACTATATAATAAGCATAAATAAATTTGCCAGTTATTAACTGTATATTTTGTTTGTGTAGTTACTACACCAAAAGCAACAAACAGAACTATCTGTGGAACTGCTCAGTCCAGGATTATCATTCTATAGTGGTGGCCAAAAGTCCTATACAAGTAACCTGGAAATTGAAAAAAATTTTTTTTGTTTCAACTCAATACCTGAAACATATTATTTATCATTGTAAAAGTAATTTGATGCATATTTAAGATCTTTTTGTAGTTACTACAGTTATGAGGCATTTGGTTATTTAAAGCAGAACACAACAACAAATATCAACCATACTATTTTTTAAGGTTACCAAACTTAATTTTTATTTTAAAAACATTTTCTTCTGATTTTGAGCTATCTTCAGTTAAGAACAGTTTACATAAAGATTAAATTTGCTAACCTCAAAAAGCAATATAATTGATATTTGTTCAACTATGGTGCCAAGTTTTGTGAATCATGAAGAACACACAAACCTTATTATTATTATTAACCTATTATTTATTGACATTACTTTTACAGCTGAAATTAAAAATATGTATTGAAAAACTGAA